GTTTTTATTTTGGCTGCTGATGACCAGACTTTGCCCTCATGTTTCAGTTTAATCTAAAGTTCAATTTAGATGTTATTTGGTCTGATCATCTCTTCCCATATTTGCTTTGCTGTTCTAAAGAGCTTGTGGTCAACTTTTAAATGCACTTCTTTATTAAACACTGACATTACTTGGTTTATTATCTATATTGATCAGACATAGAGTCCATCACAAATAACCTGAGCTGCGGATCTCCTCTAAAGTTACATTGGGCTTCTTTGCTGCTTCTCTCTTCTTCTGCTATTTCGGATGAAATGGTCACCGTTGCAGCTTTACCATATGCTCTATGTTTTGGTACGATCAACTGAATAGTGCTGCAACAGAAGCTGTACATTTGGAAAATGGTTTTCCATCTGTGGTATTCCTCAATCTTCATGACGATTTTGGCTCATAAATGATTTTAAATAATTCTCTCAGGCCTTTGCAGAACAGATGTTATCTTCTGTAGAGTTGGATTTAAGGTTAGTGTGGAAAAGGCTGAATACGAATGCACTTCTCACATTTCAGTCTGTAATTAAAAAAATAAATGTTGCAGCAATGATTTACTTTATATTGGTCTATCACATCAAATCCATCAAACTGAAGCATAGTTTCAACATTTGAAAAGTTCACTTTGTATGAGTACCTTTACTGCAACTAACTAATAATTTGTTTTCAAAATTCACACATCATAAGAAAGAAAGTAAACTGAACTCATTAATTCTAACATATTGGACTTTCTCTAATAGAATGCAGAGCAAAATATAGTGTAAATGATAAATATGGACACATTTGGATATTACTCATAGTAAAAAAACAGCATCACTTTGATTGCAAAGGGAGATCTCTGCAGGGCCATTATCATTCAAGTGCATCTTTACACTGAAGGACATGGCAAAGCCCGTGCAGAGCTGTGGAACTATGTGTGGCTTTGCATGTGTGTGTGTGTCAGTGTCTGTGAGTAAAACTGAAATGTATTCCAGTTTTATTTCACTGGAAGATACAGAAAACAAGTGCACAGCTGTCTACACGCTGTCCTATAAACATTGCAGATAAGGCATTGGTGTGTGTTGGTGTGCTTTTTCTGTGCAGCCAGGAGAGCAGTCAGTCAATTCTGATCAAAAGCTGCAGCAGGCATTAAAAGATGCAAATAGTCCCGATAAAGTATCTGTTATTATTTCTTAAATCTAATAGTGATGATGCAGTATCTCTCCTCTTAATATACCACAGCGGTAAATGGGTGGAGGATTTATATATAAGGATATTCTGACCAGAAGGTTAAGTGTTCCTAATAGTTATAAATGAGAAGGGGGACATTACTTTTGTTTATTGGCATGCTTCTCTTTAGGTCGCCCCTCCGCCTCGGCTGATTCCAGTAATATAACACTCGCCGCTCTGCGCAATGTGATTAGGCAGTGAGACGGGCCCAGCACTATCCACCGACAAGTCCGCGCCGTGAACTCTTCACCCGGGCACGGCTGTGACGTCAACACGGCGAGACGGCGCAAGGCAAAGAGGGCGGGGTTTATGGAAGCAGGAAGGAGTAGAGTGCGGCTGCGCGCGTTCTGTTACTCCACAGGAGCGCGCATCCGCTCCTAAAGGGATTGTAGGTTCAAGGCTGCCATCTACCGACGGCAAAAAGCAACAACGCCTCTCATGAAGCAAAGGAACTGAACTTTAGACAGAGCCAACTTTGAATTTAAGACGTTTAAATATTTTTATAGAGGAGGAAAAAAAAGTCAACGAATCAACACAATAAAAAGTATACCTTGATATGTTTTACTTGTGGTTGAAACACTAATAATTTTCTTAAATTGTCTTAGAATAATGGTTCGGTGGTATGACTGATGGAGGAGAATGTAAAAAAAGGATTTACTGGGAAGAAAGGCAAAAGCTTTCCGTCAGTAAAGGTTGCAGACTGTTTAAATGTCAAGTCAGTGGTGAGTGGGTGCTTTTTTTATTTTTTATTATTATTATTATTATTATTATTTTTACAGTGCAAGAACTGCAAGTAAAATGACAATTTTACAAGTTTATATTTCCTTCAAGATTCCAGTTCTGAGATTTATCAAATGTGTTTATTACTATTTTTAAGGACCCTGGACCATATTTAATAGCCTAATAAATAAAAAAAGATTATCTTAGACCTTTCAAGATGAGCTAAGTATATTATTTTGGTTTATGGAATGAGCAGATTAAAACAATTTAAGAGTTAAGCAATAATTTAAAAATTTAAAAAGAAGTATCATACACACATTAAATTTTTTTAAAGCAACGTTTGTAAAATCTATCTTTTTTATAAAAAGCAAAAGAATAAATATGGTATGTTTGCATGAGTAAAAAGCATAAACAAACATTACACAAAACATTACACAAAGCAAAAACTGCTTGATTAAGCTGATATTAACAATATAACATTGTTCATTTGTGATAACAGGTGTCACATCTCAAATTGCATTGGTATCATCATTTTGCATAGCCTAAATACGTTTTTGCTTGGAATGAGCAGCATTCATTTAAAAACATCTGGAAGAGTAGTGTTTCACATGAGGCTCCAAATGGGTCTAATAAAATGTTTTTTTGTATTTGTTTTTGTTGTGAAGAAAACAAATATATGTCCAGAGTTATCCAGTCAACAGAGATAAATATATACAATGTCTCTGTGCAATAAAATTGGTTTTACAAGTGCAGATGGTTGCATAATGAGTGTGTTTATGTAAGGAGTCTACAGTCCAGTCTGGTTAACCATTGGTCTACATTTATTCTACTTTTACCTTGCATTAAAAACAAAAATCTAATTACAGACAATCCTGGAAGAAGACCTGTTATTGACTGGAACAACAATTAAGGGCAAGCCAGAGGGTCAACAACCTGACTGATAAAGCCAGAGCCTCAACTGAATTGTCTAGATCACAGCAGATGTAGCCCAGTCCAGACTTAAATCAGATCAAAAATCAGAAATAAGACAATTGCTACACAGTTAAAATAGCCTCCCAGTCTGATTGAGGTTGAAGTATTTTGTGAGGCAAAAAAAGAAGCAGAAGAATCATGAAAACCTGCATAACATTTTTAAAACTCAGTGTTCTTTTTCTTCAAATTTACAAGTAGGCAAACCTTGTTCATAGTTGCAACATAACAAAATGTGATCACGCTTAAAGGATCTACATAGTTACTGTATAGCTTTATTCTGAAAGTGTATAGTTGGCTTTTAAGAGGTCAGTTCATTATATTATGATCTGAATATCGATGGCAGGCTTGGATATCATTACAGAAAATAAGACATCATTGTACAACCTAGTCTTTTTATTGATCATAAAGGTAACTGAACATCGGATATTCTGCAGAATAAAAATAACAGAAACCAGGATGTTTCACTGTTTGGTTCTCAGAGCAGGAACTGTGTTGCTGTCTTACTGCAGTTTAGATAAGGAGTAAACTTCCGTGTCAAAGCCCTCAAAACAGAAGTGTGATTAATTTCTGCAGCGCATTTCTCATGGGTGGGAGTATAAAATGTTTATCAGTTTCCTTTTATTTGAACCACATTCAGAAGCTTCCTTTAAAAATGAGGAGTCACTCATTTTCAGCAGATTTGCAACTTTCTTTTCTCAAAACCACAACATAGCGGGGATTTTTTTTATTTTTTTTTTAATCGCTTATTTTCTTTGATTTACCATGTTCTTCAAAATTGCCTTATATACAAAATCAAACTGTTTTAGAAGCTCCCTTTATTATCCCAAAATGGGGAAATTGTGGTGTTACAGCAGCAAAAGGTTATAGCAGAAGTTGTCACACAATGATGACCTAGGAAAAGTGTATAAAAATAACAGAATAAGTGACAGAGTAAATATGGTACTTTTTTGCAAGTAATAGTAAATAATTGACCATTTTTTTTAATACTTATTTTTTATTGAACATTTCTGAACACATACAGTGGAGAGGTAACAATACATTCAACTTCATATACAATGTTGGACAACCGTGACAAATAAATGACTATTAAAAGACGATAAAAACACTGATAAATAAATAAAAAAGATGTCAGATATATATAAGGAAAAACAGTAGGTGAGGTTGTCTTAAATTGCAGAGGAAAAAGGAAGAACAAGGAGAAAAGGTGACTATGAGGTATGGCCTGAAATGTAGGAGCTATAACGGATTTTGCCCACTAGGTGGCAGTAAAAGACCAAAGAATGTCTGTTACAAAATATCAGATACTTTTAGTTTTAACCGGTTGCTGACATTTGGAAAGGGATTATTTAGAATTAATATGTCACACTTTTAGATCATAGTTGGATAGCGAAGATAAGGTGATTAGAACCTGGAAATGGACATGTTAATAAAAAAAAAAAACCCATTTAGTCCCTAAAGAGTTGAATTAAAACACTTTGAGTTGCGCCTATTAAAGGGGGGTATGTAAATGCAGCCCTCTGGCTTATCATCAAATTACATGGCCTCGCCTGTATATCAATTCATATCTGTCTCCCTCCACCGCTTCAAATTGATTTTCATCTAATTCCATTACAAGCAACTAAACCTGCATCCGTGATCATCTGCACATAAAACTATAATTGACAATCTTCTTGACTGTCGTCAAATTAGTGCTGATTAAATACAAGGTGCAGGCGCGTATCAGGCATGCTGGGGGCCATTGGTTCATGGTGTTGTTTATTGTGTTGTAGGGGCCCCAACGCTTCCGGTGCATCAATCCTAGAGTCAGTGCATGGGCCCCGGTGTCGCACAGGAGTGATGGTCATGTGCGGTGATTATAACAGAATAAAAGGGACGTAATGAAGTGCTTTCCGCCCCGTTATTCTCATATATGCCCGACTGCTGTCAGCATTTGACGCTTCACTCCTCCCCCACTCAGTATCTCCAGCTTCTTTTCCAATAGAACTATTTCCTCTTTTTTGTTTCTTCTTTATCAGCTTACATAAGAAAAACAAACAACAAAAAATACTGTTGTACTTTTTATCAGGCAAGTTATTGCTGTGTTTCTCTATGTTGCATTGATATGTGTATTTTTTGCCAGTTTTAATATTTGATTACTGGCTGTTATGTGTGCACAAAAGATGGGGAGAGAGATATAGAGAACAGGTTGGTGGTGATTAATTTTAGAAATAGAGAGTAGATTGTAGTAATTAAAACAAAACAAGGTAAAGCAAATGACTGGGCTGCCATCTGGGCCCTGCAGGCTGAGAGCACATGTATTTACCCACTGCCAAGCTCACCATTTATTTAGCCTTATAAAGATGCTGGAGGATTGGCTGAGGCTGTTGCTCCTTTGTTTGTGTGTGGATCCATGCACCTTAGCATTTATCCTCCAGAAAGAAAAAGCATTATAGTGTCGACTTTGTATGGATGTGTTCTGAAGTGCTTGGTGTCTCTTTTTTGAGAATCTGTCAACTTTAGGTCAAATTTTGAAAAGCAAAACCTACAGATTTATCCACCTGTTTATTAATGCATCAAAACTAATACCACCATATAACTAATACCACACTTCTAAATCTGCTTTTCTCTCCAAAATCTTATGAAATAAATGTTCTGACATCACCTTATAAATTTTACAGCAAAAAAATAAAATATATATCTTATCAATGCAACAGTGACTCAGATATTGCAGCAATGATTTGAAATTATGTTGGGTAATCTCATATTATGCTATGTGGTCTGTGCATGCTCCGGTTAATGAATATTAACTCACTCTGGCATGCAGGTTGCGTAAAATGGAAACTGTTACTGATAGCTGGACTAAAACTCTGATCAATTAATACTATGTGACTATTTTGAAGCATTTATAGAGGAGTGATTTTTCTTAGAGGGTCAGCTGATGACAGAAAAAGAAGTAAACTCAGTAAATTTCACTCCTTTGATGCCAATACATGTGGACAATTCAGAACAGTAGTGCTTCCAATGTGACTGACATACTTCAAAGATATGACAGGAATGTATGATAACAAATATTCCTCTCAGTTACACCAACATAAGACCTTTTTCAAAATGCCAGCACACATGGCAGCATAGGAAATAATGCAAGTACACTGGGAGAACTACTACTATTTTTTTTGTCTATAATCAGATAGATCAACATCATATATTCATGCCGTAATGTTAGTTTTTTTTTACTTAATGAGGATTTTTCAAATTCCCATTAAGTAAAAAAAAAATGTGATGTATAAATGGAGGTAATAGTCATTTTATTTTATTTTATATATGACAGAGAATGGTAGTCCTAAAAAAAAGGAAAAAAAATTGGATCTTAAAGATAAAAAGTGTCAATGGCCAGGCATTTCTAAGGAAAATGTATGTGTCCTTTCCAGTTTTCCCCCCCTATTTGCATCCATGTTTGTAGAGCCATCCGTTCCATGTCATACCGCTGATGATCTTTTCCGCTTTGCTGGCTAAACACCACACCAGGCGATGGAGAGCGAGTGTTCAGAAGTGCAGAACAGAGACACTGATGGGACCAGATTAATTAACACACAAACACAGAGACACAAACACATATAGAAGTTTAGATGTTTTCCTGCAGCTACACACGACTGGACATCTCCCCACCCTGTTCAGGCTCTGGGTTATTTTTGAAGTCAGTCAACCGTCATCTTAATCTGGTCTCTTCATTTCGCCCGGTGCTTCGGAGAGGAAAGCTGTGTGGGAGCCGTGTGCGCATATGAAATTGCTTACATTATATGCTGCAATGTTTTTCCAATGGGCTGGAACATATTAAGCTGAAAATGAATAGCGGGTCTTCTCGACACCATGTTGCGTGGTGCCTAAGCCTTCACTTCCTCTTCTTTGGGTGCTCCATCATGACGACAGCTGTCACTTTTATTGCGTGTGTATGTGTCTGCCTGTGTGTATGTACTGTGTTTGGACCATATGCTTGAGACTATCTGTATTTATGCCACTGTTCCTGGCTGTCGTGTGCGACGGCCCTCTATAAAAGGTCATGTGTTGAGACAAAAGATCACATCTTTCTGACTCCTGCTGGAAGAGAAGTCATGCACATCTATTTGTTTTATTACATTCATACAAATCAAGAAGATGCATAAATGATGCTCATACAGCTGATTATCATAAATATGACATCTTTTATATAGCCCAGAAGGTGAAGTGTGTGTGTCCAAGTCGGCGTGTTCCTGTGCATATGTGTGTCCGTGTGCATGCTTGCATATAAATGTGCATGTGTGTGTGCACGCGTGTGTGTCAGACGGTGGCTCATTGGTATGGTGAGTGTCTCCCGTTCCCCTGTGGTGCTGGGTGGGATAGGAAGCATCTGTCACCTCTGCAGAGATCCAGTATGCTGCCGACTTAACCCTTAAAGTGCTGCATCACCTGAGGGGTGCTAAAAGAGAGAGAGAGAGAAAGAGAGAGAGAGAGAGAGAGAGAGAGAGAGAGAGAAAGTGAGAGAGAGAGTGCTAGCTTTCCATTGGTAGACTGAGCCAGTGTGGGAGGGTCTACTGTCAGGATTTTTGGCTGTATTAATATATTTATGGGTGGAGCAGATTGAGGATTATGACCCGTCCCAGCTGGAGGTGGAGCCTTGTTGCCGCAGCAACCAAACACCTTGACAAGCAATTAAATGGTAAAGAATATTGCTGACAAACTGCTCTCTCTCCTTTGCTTTGTTTCTTTGCCTTTATTCATCTTTTTTTTCATGTGCACTGGTTTTTGTTGAGATAAAAAAATCTAAAACATAGCAGTGAAATAAGACTACCAATACATCACAAGTTTTAGGTTCTTCTTGTGGGCTTTGCTGAACACCAGGTTTGCATCAAGGATATGCTTTATGCCCAGACTCTAAAAGAATGTGCAAAATCACTACAGATAAAGAGCAAGTCCTAAAATCATTACATGTCCCCTGCAATCATTGTTTGTCCAACTTTAAAACTGTTTCAAGTAGAGGCCACTAATAAATTAATAAAATGCAAATAAAAAAAAACATCCAGTAAACTCGAAGTCTGCCCTAAAGTCTCCACATAGTGAGATATTGCCTTAACAACCTCTAAAGAAGGTGCCCAGGAGGTTTTCCGGTCAGAAAGTCAAACTTCTACATTGACTATGGGGTTGTGATGCGTAAGAGCATTTTTTTTTACTTGTTGACCTGTCTCTAAAGGTGCAGTCAGCCACCGATGAATCCCACTTCAGCCGCTCCTATGATGGATAAAGATTCTCATGGGCATAGAATAAGACTGGTATATTTATGGTAAGTTTCTTTACTTACGTCCAAAAGAGATTACCTTTTATTCCATCAGATTAAGCCCCAATCTGTCCATGCAACTCCCATCTAATTTCATGACACCTCAGGAATGAGACACTGAGGTCTCTAAACTTTTTAAAATCCCCGCTGCTTCACACTCAACTACTAACCGTTCCAGTTTGCATTAAAGATAGTGAATATCCATCCATTTTCCATCATGCTTTATCCCAGCTGGGGTCGTAAGGGGTGCTCATGGCTATCTTCAGCTGTCTACAGGCGAGAGTTTGGGTACACAGGGAAAACAAGCAACCATTCACACACAGACTCACACCTAAGGAGAATCTAGAGAATCCATTTAACCTAATGGTCATGTTTTTGGGCTGTGGGAGGAAGCTGGAGTACCGGAATGAGAACATGCAAGTTTCTTGCAGAAAGACCGTGGGCCGGGAATCAAACCCAAAACCTTCTTGCTGCAAGGCAGCAGTATACCCATTGCCTTATCCTCCTCTCAACAACCACTGTTGCTTCTGTCAATGAGCCCCTCCAACAGGATCAGGAGCGATCTAAACCCAGGCCTCTCTCTAACCAAACAGCTCTTTATAGTGGAGTCCAACTCCAACTGACATCGAGCCCAAATGTGTCCCAGTAATATCGAAGGTGTTCTTGTGTTGTTTCTACAAGCTGCCTCTGTGATCCTTACTTCTGCAGCATCCCCTGAGAAAACCAGCCTTAAGACTTTTCCAGATGCAGAAAGCAAAGTAGAGCTGACAGCCAAGTTTATAACCTATAAGAACTTTAATCACAGCCATCCTTCAGAAAAATATTTATTAAAGCTATGCTGTTTTGGGGAACATGTATGTTGACAATATCTTCCCAACAAATGAGTAGTTCAACAAACAATTCTAAGATCAAAATCTTTTTAAATAACTCACAAATTAATTGAATAATATCACACAAAAAACTTGATGGCCGTGATGTGTTGACGTCCGTATGTTGCGCTCAATGGTATTTCTTAATTTAGCAGGCCAACCTGGCTCTGGTGTACCCACACTATGCTAAACAGAGCCGAGGTGATTTTGACTTGCCTGGCGAGACTTTTGACCCGGGTCTACAGCGTCAGTGAGCTGTTCCCACTGGCACTAAAAGCCAACCTTTTCCCGGGTTTAAAAGGGTTTTTGGGCCAGAAAGGGATGATAGACACACAATCCTGCACACTCTCACCTAAGACAAATTAGAGATGCAGATTAACCTACCTTTTTACTGACTGTGGGAGGAAGCCAAGGTACCTGGAGAGAAACCAGGCATTCATAGGGGAGGCATGCAAACTCCATTCAGAAAGGGGCCAGGAATCAAACCCAGGCCCTGAGCCACCATGTACCTAAAGAATCAGAATTGAAAAACATGAGCTAGCATAAGAGCAAGCAGCTGTTATTTAGTTAAAGTTAATTAAACTACAGGTTAGCTAACTTGTTTGTTTTTTTCTGTATAAACCTTTGTAATGCACAAAAAAGTTGATTTAGATGCACCGTTATTAATCAAATGTAATGAGTTACTTTCAACAGTCCTTTATTCTTTGTACTCTGAAAAAAATCTAATCACATGATCCGTCTTGCTTAATATTGCTATTGACATGATATGATGCAATTCAGCAATATGACATAAAATGTTTTCTCAGCATGATAAATAAACCGCTATTATCTTACATTCAGAATGATATTTTATCATCAGTAGAGTTTGGAGCATCCACTTTTAGATTGTTTGCTCTAATATCAAATACAAGTTTAATAAACCTGGCAAACTATAGTTCCTGTTCACTAAGAAATGTCAAGACGTTGAGATGCTTGTCTAAACAGATCTTTTTAAAATGTCTGGTTTATAACTGTTTATCTTTAAAGTTTTTGTTTTATTCAGCATCTGGATAATGTTAAAAGAATAGAAAAAAATGATGTATTGAGTTTTTATTCCTACAAGTGCATGTGTGTGTGTGAGAGAGTGTGATTCTGTCCTTTGGGTGTCATTGAAGTCCAGTATAAATCAGCCGGCTGTATGAGCGTCGAGCTGCAGTAAATTAGCTAGATTTTAATTGTGTCTGTAATAGATGACTATAATTAGTCAAGGCTCTTCTTCAACCTTTACTGCCCTGATATAATCATCTTCCATCCAAACTATACATCTTTTTCACATCTCCATCTCTCCATTCTTCATCCTCACATTGCCTGAAGGGACAGAGGAGATCTTCTCAAAGGGTTCCCCCGACCAGAGAAAGTCCCCCTCATCTATTTCAGGATTGTTTGAAACCACAAAAAGAGTTGAGTCATCTTCAATTCATATTTAGGTTTGTTAACCTTCTACACAGAAGTTTGCAAGTAAGATTTGGATTTAGGACTTTTTTTTTATATATATATAACCAAAAAACAAGCCAATTTTCATTTTAACCTCCACCAAAGAGGTTCTGTTATTAGGAGAGTTTGAGTGTGTCTTTGGCTGGGACCGAATGTTCACCCTAACCCCTAGATCCCTCAATCACTATATAGAGTGGCGGCTATTTATTGACTTTATAGTGAAATCAGTTAGCTTACTGTTTGGATAGATGATCACTACTTTTCATCTTAATTGGTCACGTGACTCCGCCCCCCCGCACGGTGCCTGCGCCATCTTTGTTACTTGTCACTGCTGTAAGGCAGTGACAGCCTTTACTGACAGTGGGCCGCTGTGACAGCAAATCCCATAATGCTTTGCGAGGGGAGCTCTCCTCGTTAAGCATTCCAGGATATATCCGATCGTCTAGTGACCATGGGTGATCACTATTTTTCAAGGTGCATTGTGGGAAATTTCTACTCCACTACTTTTTTATCCACTTGACGTTCAGACACTCATTTAAAATGGCGTAAGCACCATATAGTGCCCTATATAGTGATTAGGGTGGATATTTAGACACTGCCTTTGTTTGTTTGTCTGTCTGTCTGTCTGTCTGTGTACACTCAAAAAAAGGGATTCAAGCCCCTCTTTGAGGTGACACCATTTCTTACCATTCAAAATACCAAAAGTAATTGGTTTAATAATGATTTTGTAATATTTAATTGATGTAACACAATATGTATGAACATTTTATGGGTCATCCAATGTAACCTAAAATTCTTGAGTTCACTATAAGATAGAAAACTTTTAATCAGTCTGACTTAATGATCTGAATGAATTGTCTCTGTAAAGTGCCTTGAGATGAAATGGCGGTATATAAATTGAAATGTAATTGAATTATAAGGCCGCCTTGTGAACTTATAAGTAAAGTCTTTCAGAATAATTTTATTGTAAATTTGGTGTATGTAAACATTTCCTTTTAAATTATTATTTTTTTTTAATGTGTTGAACAGAATCAATAAAATGATACCATGCAGATATATGTGGATTTGGTTCAGCTAGCAAAAGTAAATTTTTTTCAGAGTCATTTTTATGAGTGTACAGGATAACTTAAGACAGATTCTAATGACATTTTTTTTTTTTTTTTTTAAGATTCTGTGCATACAGGTATTAACTTATGGTGGAAGTCGAAATATGTAGGGGGAAAGGAGCTTCTTCGCAGAGGTCTGCACTCTTTGATGATTTTCTAGATTTTAATGTAATTCGGAGATAGATGTTAATTTTCTGAAGTAAGAAATGTTTGACTCAATCTGACAACAGAGAATTGTTATTATTCTCCTATCTTACCTCTGACAAAGAAGTAGTATTTGTTCTAAAATTTTATTTCATCTTTAAAAATGTTGATTCTACACAGAATGTAACACATGTTATTTAGTAAGTTATTGACCTTGACTATATCAGCTAGCTACACTGAAAATAACCAACTCATAAGATTTACTTAAAAATATATTGTAAGTATTTGCAAACAAATGATTTAAGTAAAATTTAATGCTGCAATATGGTGTGTGGGATTGCATTCGAGTCAATGAGTCGATGCAATCAACTGGTTTTAGATAGAAAACTTTTGATCAATTTGACTGTATTATCTGGTTGAACTGTAAAGTGCCTTGAGATGACATGTGTTGTGAATTGGCGCTATAGAAATAAACTGAACTGAAATTGAATTGAATTGAATATCAAGCAGCAAAACACTCATTTGCCAGTATCAAGTGAATTTACTTTCCATAAGTTGTAGTTGTGAAGATATTAAGTAACATTTACTTAATTACATCCAAGTTGTAACTTAGATTCATTTAAACAAATTAAGTAAAGAGTACTTGTTTTTCATAGGCACAAACAGTGTTTTACAAAAAAATTTAAGGCAACAGAGAGACAAACAACCATGCATGCACACCTAAGGAAATTTAGAGAAGCCAATTAACAGTCATGTTTTTGGACTGTGGGAGAAAGCCAGAGTACCCAGAGAGAACCCATGCATGCACAGGGAGAAGATGCAAACTGCATGCAGAAAGACCCCAGGCCAGGAATTGAACCCAGAAACTTCTGGCTGCAAAGCAGCAGTGCTATCCACTCCACCCCTGAGCAGCCCTCTAAGTTGAATCGTACTTTTTAAATATCCAATAAAAAAAGTTTACCACCCTCTGAAACTGATATTTTCGACATTTGCTACAGAAACATATTCATATGTAAGATCAAGAATATTTAACTTACACAAACATCCTCAAAACAACTTAGGGTGAGGGTCAGAACAGAAACAGCCACTTAAGCTTTGAGAAGGGGCATAAAGATTATGTATTCCTCTATTTAAATGGAAAAAGTAAGTGCAAATATGACATTAATAGTAATAGTGCATTATGTTGTACCGCATCGGAATTTGTACCGAAAAAAAGATAAGGTTGGTACGATTTGAAAACAACAAATACACAGTATTACGTATACACCACATCCACCACAGATCTGGTAATATAGTCACTACTCAAATATGCAATAAAAATCTTACAAACCTACACACTGGAACAGTGCAATTTCCACATTTAAGCCAGTCGTCCAGACTAGTGGACTTTTAAGAATGCAATTACAACATTCATGAAACAAAATCAATGCAATAAAAAAATGTACTGCTTAAACTATTTAACAATTAAAATCTCTACTAGATATTCGAATAAAGGTATCTGTTATTTTTTGCGAAATACCATATACCTTATTCGGCAAAAATTTTAAAAGATTCATGACAGGCAACCTTCCACTAAGATTAACTGGAGCCCATTGCTTATTCTTGGCATTTGATGCCACATTTTCCTACACTTAGATGATAAAGCCATGAATGCATTTAGGAAATCAACTTCAACTTCAGGGTGTTTACTTTTTGGGACAATTTAAATCCATCTAACTCCAGGAAAAGTTTTTGGAAGACTTCAAAAGTGTAGCGCAAAGTGGGAGGGTATGCCAAGTTCAGGGCATATATCAGTCCCATGAGCAGCGTGCAAGCTTTTGCAGTACTGTTGCACCCTGCCAAAATAACTGTCATCGGGACTACCTCTTGCTCTTTGGGTGATTCTATAACGTCTGGACTCCGAGCAAAATCATTTCTGCTGTGAGCTACAGTGCGTATGCACCATGTGTGCGTTTCAAAACGGTACATTTTTAGAGTAAAGTTTATGTAGTATTTTTAGGTTTATGTACAAATGACTGTACTATTAAACAGTTATATAGTATAAGGAAGTCTAAGTAAAACGTACTCTTTCCCCAAAATTCATGTATTACATTAAAAAAAGGTTTCCTTTTACTTCAGAAACTCTAGTTTTTATTGAAGCTTGAAAATAGAAATTATGATGAATACTCTAAAAGAGGTTACTGCACCAGAAAGTCACTTTTTTCAGTGTATGCCGCTAATGCTAGACATTAATGACTGGTCATAATGGTACATGCAGTAATACCATAATCTATAGGTGCGACCATGGCATTGTTTTGCAAGTCTCAGGTAAATCTTTATCCTCCTGTCACACGCTAGAACTCTAAAAATTTTAGGTTATAAAGTTTTAACACGTAAGGTAGGTATCTGCACAAAGAAATGTAAGTATTTAAGAGAAAACTAGCTAAAGCCAGAAGAGCACTATCGGCATTGTACTACTAAGGCAAATCAGTGAATGGTGCAGAGATGATCCCACAGAAGTGAAGAGTTTGGATGGGGAGGGAAAAAGAGCAGGTTGTAAAGCATAAAAGCAGAAGAAAGAAAATTGGTGTTTATCTGTAGCACTAACAGAGGAGCTAAAAGGTTTTGGTTTAAAATCCACAATAAAATGAGCAGCTTCTGAAACATAGATTTTAAACACAATCCCAACTTTAAAGTCCACCGTTTTTCTCTTTTTTGTTTAGGTCAGCACATGCCTGCAAAGTAGGGAAAGGTCTCTGTTGAATCAAATGTGCAAACACAGCAGTCTTTAGTAGGTTTAGTGTTTAGGGGTATCAAGATGGATCCACTAAAAGTGAACAGCTTCAAACCTCCCTAATCTGGGTGCAGGTTTTAAATGTTGTCGGTTTTGTGGCCGCTTTGACTCCATGGGGCCTGCTAATAAAAAAAAAATGTCCCATTGACCCATTTTAGCTCATTGTGACGTATTTCGTTTAGCAGAGCATAGCTGGAGGGATAATGATTCCCCTCAACATCTTAACAACCATATCTACCAAGTTTTGTTATCTTTTTAAAAAACAAAATACAGCTGTGGAAAATTTTATTTTATCTGACTATGTAGTGTAAAGTTATTTAATACTTAGACAAACTTTATTGTCATTTTGTGTATACAGAGTGTATACAAAAACACAATTCAACAGCGAATGAGCAGCTTTCAGCAGTGAAATGAACATTTCCATTTAAAAAGTGCAGCAGCAAACAGAGTGTTAACAGTGTGGGCGAAAAGGAAATCCAGTTTAAAGAGAAGGTGCAAAAGTGATTAATATGGAAAGGTTCAGCGCATTGCAAAATAAATAAATATGGTGCGAAATGCAGGAAACATTGAGTCCTATTTAAAGTGATTATGAAAAAATCAACCATGTAGTGCAAATATGATGTTTACAAGTATGATGCAGTGTTGTGATTTGAGTCTTCATTAGAGTTTAAAAAGTTCAACAGTGTTATGGTAGTGGGGAAAAGGCTGTTGCAGAACCTGCTGGTCCTGTAGCAAATGCTGCTTCCCAGAGACCAGCGGGGAGAACAGTCCATGGTGGGAGTGGGAGGGCTCGCTGATGATGATAACTTTCTGGGGGCAGGATATTTAGTTAGAGAAATTAACTTTATATGACAGAATCAGCGCCATCGACCCATACCCACCAACTGCATGGATGGACAATCTCACCGTATTGCCTCTGGCTGAATGATGTCACATCCACGACAGCTAACTGAAAAACAGAGGGTGATCCAAGTCCTAGCTAGCTGCTCCAAAAGCCAGTAAAACAACCAGGTAGCTGGCTTAGGTCATTATTAACAGAAGAAACAGCTGTTTCTTGATGGCAAACTGTATTTGCATAGCAGGGGCTGAAACGTTATTTAAATCAGTATTAATGAAAGACAATATTTTATTTGCATGGTAAGAAGTTAGAGTTGCATACAAGCGTATGTTGCCCTTGTTTCCTTGCTTTTAACCAGAGCTGTTTAGGGTTCTGCTTTAAACCTCAGCTACCATCATTTTTTTGTTTGCCAGTGTCAGCAGATATGGCATAAAACTTCTAATTGTCTGTACTCTGTAGATTTTGCCAACTGACAACAAAACAATATGCTAATTCTTAAGCTCCATGTGTAGCGTCCTTTGCTGGTTTGTATTTATAGTCTCCAGTTGTCGGTTTGTTTTGCTTCCATCTAACTCTGACGTAACTGTGACTTGGACAGAAAAGGGATGTATACACACAAACCCGGTTTCATATGGACGGGACCTAAATGCTACCCTATTAACAGAAATAAGGCTTTACAACAAATTTACATCATGTGCTACAAACTGTTTCATAGGTTTGAGAAATTCTGTGTGCAATTCTTCTGTCAATTGTTCTTCTAACATGATAAAAAAACATGGAGTCCTCTGATCAAATTATTAAAAAAAAGAGTTAAATATGATAAGGATGTCAAGTTTTTTTTAGAATTAGTTGTAAAGACTTAAACCTGTAAGTGCATGCATGGTTTGAGTATTAGGGCCTTCCTCTGATACTCTATAATGCACCTAATCACTAACAAGTGTGAGTGACAGAGGGGCTGGAACAATGGAATCTGACATACCTGATGGCCTTCACCTGATAAGGCAGGACAAAACTGAAAAATGTTGCTGCAGGGAGATCCATGCACTGATTAGGCCTGCATTCGATTCCTCCGACCGCCGATTCATCAGTGTCCACCAGCACCCGTTTAGAGGGTTCTCCGGTGTCAGCATGGTCACATTGCTGCCGGGACCTCGCCAATCTCTGTCGTGCAGCATCAGTGTCCAAGGGAACAGCAGCTCACCCTTAGCCCTTTCAAAACACAAACATACACAGCAGAAATGTTCAGCAGAGACATGCCCCCAATCACAGCAACAAATCTGATAGAGTGTGTATACTAACCCTTCCTGATGTTCGGACCACACGTAGGTTCAAATGAGACTAAACACATACACATAACCCAACTCTAGTCCATTCTGAGATATGACCCCCACATGGAGTTCCTTGGTCACCAATCAGGACCACTTTGTCAAAGCACAGGTAACCGTGACGACTCTAATCCCTCGGCAATCGGCCGATCATTCATCACCGCCTTGGGAAGGAGAACAAGAGGAGGGGTAGAGCAGGAGAAGCGGGGAAAGGAGGGGCGGGGAGGGGGTTGACACAGACAGGGGCAGTGGTGCAGACAAATGGCCACCAAAATTCCGTATTAATCAGCAACTGATTTGCTGCCCCTTTAAAGCCAATACCACTTAAAGACTTGAGATAGGAGATAGGGAGGAGCGCAGAGGATGGGAGAATAGTAGAAAGTAGGATCTAAAGATTAAACAACCCCAGAGAAGAAACGGTATGAAAAACAAATAAAGGAGGGAACAAGAAATGGAAGAAAATAAAAGTGGGAAAGTACCCTATTGGAGTCTAGTGTTGCAATAGGGGTTCATGTTGTGACATAGTAAAACGCTGGCTTTGATTCTCTACACATACACAGAAACACACACTAGTAACCCCCCTGTTGATTTGTCACTGGAGTTGATCAATAGCTGTGATGGAAACAGAATCAGCTCAGATGGATTAAACGTCCCAGTGGCTCTGACGTTATTTTCCCATTAAGAGAAGGCTAATCATTACCTCGCACGCACACAACAACAAACACTCACAAACACACACAAGTTACATACATTCATACACATCCATAGAGCAATGCACACACCCCTGCTTTGCAATGCACTCTCATATCAGTCCAAGCAGCCTTATCAACATGAAAATGACTTTGCACACATAACGGTCCTTGTGTCTGACAACACACAAACACGCACAGATACACACTACGGATCCCCCATTAAGAAAAGCCAAATCCAAACGGCTACCAGTGTGACTGTATCGATCTGAGCCGGCTTCCTTCAACAACAACACAGTGTGCTCTGAAAGAAAACACCACACTTATCACATAAACTGACAAGAAAGTAGGACTTAACACACGGTTCCCTTTTCACCAGGCTGCTGCTATAATCCTGATCAGTGATCAGTCTGAATAATGCAGGTCCATGTATTGCATAATTTATTGATTAAGAACACATGTAAATCTGCTTTGCTGGTAATTAATTTACATTATAAAACATATAACCCAAATATACAGTAATTAACATCAGGTAATCCTGTCAATTTCATTGCTGCATGCATTCTTCTACTACAAATATTTGTGGAATGATGGGACACTCTTAGGTGCTCATCATATTACACAGTACCACACTGGATGTAAAGTAAGACACCACTGGACTCTAGAGCAGTAAATATATGTTCTTTTGAGTGACTTATCATGCCTGTCTGTATGGCAATCCAGTGGACAATTTTGGCTTTTCTGCTGCCTGAATAACATCTCTTTCTTGATAATTTTAGGTCTAAAGTATGGTGCCATATTTTTTGATTTACAGCTGTTTGTCAAAGGTTAGACTCTGTATCCTTAAGTCAGTGAAAAAAGTTTTTATGCCTCAACATACCACAACATTTGGATAGCTTCATTAAAAAAAAAGAAAATAAATGTGAGATTTTAAGAGAAGAGAATCTGTGAAAAACACATTGGTGTGAATTTCTACAGCGCAAATCAAAGAGGGGCAACAGTGGCAGGGGAGGCAGGGCAATGGCGTGACTATTGGTAAGCAGAGACTGCAGTTGCTTAGGGGCCCTGACTTCTTAGGGGCCCCGTCACTGACACCTGGGTGTCCCCCTATGCTAATGTGGACTAGGACGTCTCTTTGCAGATGTAACACATGGCAGATTTCAGCATCATGGTGAGCCGTTTAAACACAACATCAATAGCAAAGCAGACAGGGGTACTTTAAATCACTATGTTAATAACTGTCTATAGTTCATTAGATGGTTGGTAAAAAAAAACACTCATATAATATGTTTCAATGTGTTTCTATGGGTGTTGTACTTCATATGGGCCCCACTCAGATAATATTGTTTACAGTCACTACGCCATTGAGGCAGGGGTTTGTCCTTGCCACCAGAGGGTCTTTGGTTTGAACTTCGGCTCTGTTTGTCTCAGTCCTTCTGACCATGACAATTTTACTATCGGAACAACATGTTGGACTCTTCTGAATTGGAAAGGCGCTACATAAGTGCAGGCTATTTACCATAGGAGTTCAGTGGGGTCCATGTCGAGATGAGTCAGGGTGGTATTAGATTTATGCTTAATCTTTACAAAAAAAAGACTGAACTGGAACACTAGAAGGCTAATAAATTAACCTTTTATTCCTAATAGTTAGAGAACCACTGGATGATAACTGAATTATGGTGCAGCATCAACAAGGGGTGAGATATGAGTCCAGAACATTACAGGTACAAAATCATGTTCAAACTCTCATGGTAAATGGAGCTCTATACTACAAAAATACTGAACACAGTAATGAAATCATAACAAATAATAATTGAAGATCCTATAAATTATCTATTATAAATTTTATGGTTTTCAAGTACATCATTGATCAAAGACACTGTGGAGGATGTAAAAACAGTTTCTGCAGGCAAAACTGTTTGAGTTTTTTTAATGGATATTATATATGTTTTTTAACCTAAGGCATCCTTCCTGTACCAATTAACCATAAACCTCTGTGCCAGAAGGCTGTTTAGCAATGTGTTAAGCACAAGACAGTAAATACTGTGCGTGACCAAGGACGCCAAGGTGAAATGATACATTATACGACGTGTGATGAAGGAAACGACACAAGCCAGAAGAGCAGAGAGAAAGAGAAGGAGAGTGATAGCTCTGCAGGGAGGAAGCGTGAGACCATCTGCTGTTGGCTACCTGCTGCCACCCCCTCCACCCCGCTCCTTCTCTCTGCACCTACCTTCCTTTTTTTTTTCTCCTCATTTCTCCTGCAGTCTATAAAGATACTGAGTCAGTTAGAGGCAGAGAACCCGTGTATCCACACTAGGGACTCCACAAACACACACATGCCCATACACACAATAGAGCGAACAAGCAAGACGTTTCCAGTTAATTTGCGCCTTTAAATTTCATATTTATTTTTTCCGTCAACCGGGTTTGGTCCATTTCTTCTGTTATCTCTCAAGATACTTGCCGCTTTTCACCCGCATCTCTTTGTCACTAAACACGCAGACATGCAACATACACAAAGACTCAACATCCACACAAAAAACATACACACCTACTGTGAGAGGGCCTCTCTAATGGATTCTGAAGATTCCAATTTCCCCTCTGCCACCAAAGACAGAAAACCCTCTGAGCTCAATTACCCCTGTCTCCCACTCACCAGACGAGACCAGACACGAAGACACACACACACACACACACACAAATCTTGGATGCTTCATAGGTTGTAATCATGGATACACACACACACTGGTTCTTGCACACCTTAAACCGCTGTGACATGTCGGGAATCACACAATCAGAGACCCATAGTTGGACTGAGAGGAGTATTAGTCTAAGGTAGATTTCACATGATAGAAGCTAACTGGGGAAGGGAGGGGAAGAAAAATTGACGTGGAGGTCAGGGTACAAAAAAGAAAGGAACAGAAGGTTGAACAAAGAAAGAAGGTAAGACAGGAGGATAGACAAGGTAGAGAAATATGAGAGCAAACGAGGCTGGAGTGGTGAAAGAAGATGTGAAGGAGATACGAGGGCGAAGCGGTGAGGAGGTGCAGGCCTTGGGCTTTTACACAATCCACTCTTCCAGAAACCTTATTAAATTCTACAATTAGCTGAACGTCTCAGGCTATAAATAGGCTCACTTTTCCCATTCCGTTGTGTCAGTCAGGGAGCCAGACTTCGACTGCAGGGGGAAACAAAACAATTTAAATTATAGCGAGGCTCCCTTTTTGTCTGGCCACCCTTTTAACGGGATAATTACTAGACTATTCATTCGCGCTCGGCCAGGGCGATATATCACCTCAGCGCACCGCGGCCCAGCTCTCAGTGATAAACGTCTTTTACCGGAGAGGAGGAGGAGGAGGGTAGATACTGAGGGCTAACGTGTGCCCGTTGATATCAGTTTACTGTCTGCTGCTGGCGTACACCAAAAGCCTGTCTGCGTTATTGAATAGCCTCCTGCCAGATTCTGGAGAGCACGAGTCCATGCAAACTTGGTTTTCAGAGTGACACAGGCTCTTTCCCCAGGGCCCCAGCTAAGGAGAAATGAACGAAAAGGAAAGATAGGGAGATTGGAGGGGGGGGGTGAAAAGGAACTATAGGAAGCGAAAGACATCTATTATTCAGCACAGCCCCGATCCCTGCATACGCGCGCCATTAAAAATAGGAAATCCATAGCGGAGACAAATGGCTTCTAAATGAAGCTCTACAGGAGGAGAACGGAGATAGGGACCCCTGTCACATGCGTTTTAATTGTCTCCCGAGGCGATAAGGGGATTTATCGAATTCATCGTGCCAGTATAAGGGCTTTTAGGAACTATGACGATGAGTGGCTGCAGAAATAACACAGCACGTGTTTGTTCGTTTTTAAAAAACGTTGAGCAAGATGGGAATGGAGAGCAATTAGACAAACACAAAGCTTGAAGAAGCAAGGGTTCAATATGATATAATTAAAGGGAACATTTATATTTTTTAACATGAGCTAGGATTGAAGTTCGTAATAAATCAATGACGATGTTTTGCCGATTATTTTGATCTTTGGTTTTTCTTTTAGCTTAATTTGGCCTGTTGCTTATTTGGAAGCTTCATAGGTCATGTTTTCAAAAACAGAAGTCCAACAGTTTTGGAGCTCTTCCTGGCATGAGTGTTCATTAGTTATTCATTTGACTAGCAAAGGTAAAATCCCCCAGCCTGCTGAGGAACACAGAATATTTGCTAAAAATTTTTTTGAGTATTTTGAAAATGTACAAAAAGGACATGAGAGGGAGAAAAAGCATTTCTCAAGAAGAAAGCACTGAGGGTGAAAAGGCCTTAGAACGGTTTGGCTGATGAGAGATGTCATCAGTCACATACTCGGTTTTGATAAAAGGCATGCCCTAATGATCTCTAAAAATGTTGGCATAAGATATGACAGAAAGCTTGTGCAAAGTATTGTCTAGTTTCAATAAAGAGTCTCAGAACTAGTTGTAGGCAAAGAATAAT